AATCATATCATCCACATATACTATCAGTTCAATAATCTTATCTCCTTAAGCGTGTTTTGTGAATAATGTGTGATCAGCCTGACATTGAGACTATCCTTTAGATCTCATAATTTTAGCAAATCTTTCAAACCATTCCCCTGATGATTGCTTATGACCATAGAGAGACTTCTTGAGTTTGCATACTAGGTATTTGTTAGAATCCTTCGCAAGTCTTGGCGCTATCTCCGTGTACACGTCTTTAGGATCACCATTCAAGAAGACATTTTTAATGCCAAGCTGATGCAGTCCCTACTCTTTGTTAACTGTTACTGAGAGAACTCTAATAATGTTTAGTTTGACAACTAGTGCAAAGCTCTCTTGATAGTCAATCCCATAAGCTTGAGTGAAACATATTGTAACCGTTGTATTTTTGAATCTCTCAATACCACAATCAGCTCTGTACTTGATGTTGAATACGCATTTGCATCCAACTAGCTTTTTAGCCTGAGAAAGTTTTGTAATAATCCATGTGTCATACTTTAGTGCTTGAATTTTTTTCTTCTATTGCTTTCCTCTATTCTGAATTTCTAAGAGCTTCATAAATGAATTTAAGAATTTGCACACTATCAAATTTATATATTAAAATTTTATATGCAGTGGATAGCTTTCCATAAGCTACATACTCCTGAAGATTAGATTTAGTACACATTTTCTTGTCATTTGCACCAAAGGAGAGAGGAGATAACTCTTGATTTCTAGATTCGCCCGAAATTTTAGGTGAGTATGGACTCGATTGCTTGCACGGCTTCGACGATTATGTTTTTGCAAGTTGTCTTCCACCTGCTCAAGAATTTTTTCTTCCTTGTTTATACACAAAGTTCTTTGTTATGAACTTCGGATTGGGTTGTTGGGACATCCTCAAGTAGGATATTTTCACGTAGTGGTGTTTGGGAGATAGAAGGGGTAGGTTGTGAGGCAATGTAGGTGTTATTAAGCGTATCCCAAAATTGATGTTCTTTTGCACTCTCTCCCTGAGCATTATATTTTGGATTGTATGATTGATTTTAATTGATTTTAAAAAAAATGTGATATCCATGGAGTTGTAGTGTATTATGTTAATAGGTGAGTGGTATTTATAGCTTTTTTTGTTTGAGACATGCATACTAAAGGAAAATATAATTGATGGATTTAGGGTCAAATTTTGTGTGGTTTGGGGAATAGATGTGAACAAAAGATACACACTAAAAAAAATTTTAATTGTACAATAAAAGAGAGAGTTCCGGTGTGGTGATATTTATCTATCAAGATATGAAGTGATGTTTTGAAATTTTGTACTCGACTAGATTGTTGATTGATAAAGTATGTTGTAGTAAGTACTGCTTCCCCCAAAAAATATTTTTGAACATGATGAGAAATCTTAATTGAGCGAGATACTTTAAAAAAATGTATGTTCTTATCGCAACTATCTCATTTTGTTGTGGCATATTAATACATGAACTCATAAAGATGATTTTATTTTTTGAAAGGTAAGATCCAATGATGGATTTGAATTTTTCTTTTTTTGGTATTATCAATTTAAGAATCTAAAATTTTTATTTGAATTGAGTTTGAACCATGTCATGGAAGGTTTAGAAGATTTGAGTTGTTTTAGATTTCTCCATTAGGAATTTCAAAGTGGTTCTAGCGTGATCGTCAATGAATGAGACAAACCATTTAGTACCACCGAGGGTTCTTACAATTGAAGATTACCAAATATCAACATGAATGATAGTAAAAATATGTGTGGGTTTGTACTTGATCGTGTGATTAACATTTATAATATGTTTGGCAAGTTGAAAAATCTCACATTGATAAGTATTAGGTTTTTATTGATCGATAAATGAGGATTAATTTTGCAATATAATTGAAATTAGAATGACCAAGGCGACAAATGTCATGCCATGACTTATTCTGTCATACCTGTCCCGTATCTGGAGCTGATATCTCAATCCTCTCATCTCCTGTCATCACCAAAACTGATCTCACCGATGCTGCTCTGCTGGAAAGGGCTCATGTGATCTCGAGCTCCGTCGAATGGAGTAGGATGATGTGCCTCCCATCCATGTTGAAGGAATGTGCTCTTGAATCCGTTGTGGTGAGTCTTCCTGTCAAACTGCCACCAATAAAAGCAACATCCATAGGGACAATATCGCACTACACATAATCCTATAGCTGGCTCCCGATCAAAAACTCCACTAGACATCTCCGATCAGTAATCCTATAGCTGGCTCGCGATCAAAAACTCCACTAGACATCTGCGATCAATGTTGACTATGTTCTCTTTCTTTAGCCACATCAGAGAATTTGGTTGAGAGTGCCTCTGAGTCATAAGACCCAACTTTTCTACTATCTGTATCAATGCTACATTCTTACTGTTCCCTCCATCGATGATGAGACTGCATACTTTTTCGTTCATCGTGCAGCGGGTATAGAAGATATTGTGGTGAAGCTACCAAGGATTCCTCATATTCCCAATCTATGGAATTCGTCGAACCACAAGTGCTTTTCCTCCATTTGGTGGAAAATGACACACCTCACCTTATTTCTTAGCTTTCTCCTCATTTCTAATCTTCTCACCGACGCCCTGCTCGGCAAAGTACATGACTCAGTTTGTTGGGCAATTGGAGTCAATGTGCTCAAATCCGTGGCTTTTGAAATATTTTCTGGCAGATTGTAATAGGCGTGCTACTCTTCTCAGATTTTCTCTCAATTAGGGTGTCTCTATCCTTATTTGAATCAGCTTTATCAACTCCTTGAGGTGTGCTCTTACTGGTGTCTCCTACTATGAGTGGCTACCTAGCTGGTGGTATTTGCCTACTCTGCTGGTGTCTCCTACTATGAGTGAGTGGCTACCTAGCTGGTGGTATTTGCCTACTCTAATTCTACTGCCTCTCCACTTTCAATGCTAAGGTCTGGACATCTCCAACTAATCATTAAGGCTATAGTTGTACCATATTGCTAATTGTGGCCTTCAGACTACCTAGACAATGGGTTATGGTATGCTCCTCTAGATTGACTAAATTGCACCTCATTTGCAACTGATCAAATTGCTTCCCTCTGCTGACAGGTTCCTCCGCTATAGATGATGGAGCCTCAGAAATATATCATGACGGTAATGGGGTGAGAGGTATGTCCTCTGCATTGCTTTTTTCATCTTCTCTCACCTAGTAATTTTATCGTTGTTTTCTTTTTTCCTCTGTTTCTGTAAGTTCTCTCACTACAAAGAGACATTTTTCTTCAACTTGATAGCAACAAATTTGACCATCTTATCTTTCGACACATCCTTATACTTGAAGATTCTTTCAACTCCTTGTAGCAATTAAATGAAATCATATGGATCCATGCCTCCATCAATCTGTGACATCCACTTTGATGCCGAAGTCTTTGTTACCTCCAAATGGTATATCCTCTCCCATATGTATGGAAGGGATTTCGATACCCTTCTCTAAGCCTCCTCTGATACTGGATTTTGAAACATTGTGACATGTCTTCTTCATTGCTGAAATTCTCCCTATGGAAGGGATTCATATCCTCATCTCTTTCTCTCTTCGAACTTTCCAGATCTTGGTCGAGGGTAACCTCCCCTTGAGTCATCGCATCAATCTCTACAAGCCTTTGAAGACAACAAAGTTATCACTGTATCGATTCACGAGTAGGCTCGGGCATATATCTTCTTGGTGGCATGGGTAGGGTTTAGGAATATGAAAAAAAATTTTAGTGGGTGTGGCTTGTGTAGGGGCGGATGCTAGGAAATCCTATGATGAGAGTAGGGTTGGGCTAGCCTAATTTCAAATGATACCGGAGTTAACCCAAACCTCAATAGAAACTGAAATATATTATTACTGAAATTCAAATGTTACAACATGATTTGCAAAACAGAAAAAAATAACGATACAACATCAAAATTAGGGTGTAGGCGGGGTAGTTATGCTACAATTAAGGGAGAGTTTGGAGAGCTGGGTGTTGCTGTAGCAGGGAAAGGGTGGTTGGCCGACGGTAGGAGGATGAAGGCAGAAGGTGGGAGGTGAAGTAGACGGGTAACGGTGGAGTGGGTTAGCTGTAGGATGACTTGTTGGCCAGCAGGCTGTCTGTAGGAGGAAGTGCGGGGCAACAGGTTGGCATGGATAGCACAGCAGCAGGGGATTGGTCATGCGGCTGTGGAATGACATGGAGCAGGGGATTGCATGGGAGATGACAGCAAGGAGGAAGGAGACTTCACATGGGAAATCTGAAATTAGAACATAGCCAAAAACTACCTAAGCAAGCAAACAACAAAAATATAATAGAATAGATGATAAACGAAGGGGAGACTCTCCCCTTTGGGCGGAAACTAGGAAAGAAGGGGAGAGGATTGGCTCCAGGCTTGAGATGGAAATGAGCCGGGGAAGGAAAGAACGTGAGCTAGTGTCCCACCCAATGGAGTGGGAGAAAGAGGCCAGTTCAGCCTCCTGCCGGGCCGAAGCTTCCCTTTGAACCGCTGGCTGGTTCAGCCAGGGCTTAAGCCCCGCGCCATCTACTGTGTTGCTAGTTCTGTTAGATCAAAAGATGTTAATGCATGGCTTTACTCAAGTTAAATATGAAAAACATGCTGAATGTTTGAGCAGTTAATTTTTCACTATTTTGTTTATGAAGTTAGAGCGTTCAAATCATTTATCCCTGATTTTATTTTTTTTCTTCTGTTTTTTTTGTTATCTAATTTTCTTGCTCTGGCTTCAAAATAAGAGATGAAATTGCAAATCAATTTGCATTGCATGTAGACTTTATAATCCTGCTATTAGTGTGTCCTGGTTGAAAGAGCCATCTCCTGTTTTTAGCTGAGTTTGGTTTTCTCTGTTGCTAAATTGGCTTCAAAATAAGAGAAGAAATTGCAAATCACTTTGCATTGCATGTAGACTTTATTATCCTGCTATTAGTGTGTCCTGGTTGAAAGATCCATCTCTTGTTTTTAGCTGAGTTTGGTTTTCTCTGTTGCTAAATGTTAGTCATCCAAAGGGCTGAGACCTGGAGCCTATGACATAGATGCCTCTTCCAGACTAACTCTTCTTGGTAATTCATATTACCGTGATATGCTCGGTGAATTTGGAGCTCTTTTTGCTTTAGCCAATCGCATAGACCGAGTACACAAGAATGCCTGGATCGGATTTCAGTCATGGAGAGTTGGAGCTAAGAAGGTAAATAATAAGTACATTTTAGCATGCTAAGTTAAATATCTCATTTTAATTCTACTTCTGTAATTTTTTTTTATTTTTTACCATTAAACCCCATAATTATCAAGCAAATTTAATTGTAATCAATGTGCAATCTCCCCTGGCATCTTTTGAAAGTTTGTTGTGTTCTTCAAAATCATAGTACTTTCAAGTCATAGGGCATCTATTATTTAGTGAGTACAGTTTTGAGGGACAAGTATTATGAATGACGAAGAGTTAATTAATCTTATGATGATTGGTGGCTAGGTAGAAATAGTTATTTTGCTCATGCTAGTTCTTTATCTCAACTCACAAATGGGTTTTATCTTTACATTTCTTATGTACTATTCACATAACACTGGGACATAGCATATGAAATTCCAGCTTTCTCAATATAATGAGCAGACATTTACTTGCCATATTTACGTCTCACAGTTAAATGTTGCTTTTTAATATCATGTTTGATGAATTATAAATGCTAAAAATGAACTTTAATACTTTTAAAATATTAGCTTTGAGAAGCAATAATTCCTGGAAGATCTTTTTTTTTTTTTAACTTTTTTCAAAACCTTAATCTCAATCCAATCTTCATGAAAAACTTGTCAACATGCACTACGCTGCACCTTGCTTCAGGTGTTTCCTTTTTCTCTACAACACCCGAAAAGGGCCAAGTAATAGTTGCCCTTGTACTACAATTAGCATGCCGTTTGTTGAGGCCCCTTGAACATCTAGATTTCCTTTATTCATCATTGCTTCTTTTATATTGTTTTTCTTAAATGTAGTCTTTCTTTTCAAATAAATTAGTGCAGAAAATGTGTTTTATTTATAAATCTCATTATTTAGGGTTGCCCTATTCTTAAGAACCCGTGACATGGAAATTTTGAATTGATATGCGAGTGCAACTTCAGACATAAACATGTTCTTTGATAATTATAGGAATCATTGTCTAAGAAGGCTGAGAAAGCACTCTTGGAGTCCATTGAGGGGCAAAAACATGGCGATGCTTTATATTTTTGGGTTGGCATGGACAAGGATCCAAGAAATCCTCAAAATCAAGATTTCTGGACCTTTTGTGATTCTATAAATGCTGGAAACTGCAGGTATGTGTTCTTCATGTTTCCAAAATTGTCGACATTTTACTAATGCCTTGCTGGTGCTTTATATTGTCCGCTACTTTCTTCTAAGATTCCACTGTACTTTGTCGCATTTTTTGAATAATAAATCTCGTGGTATTTGAATATCTGAGCCATGGAAATGATTCTATGATTAAAACCCAAGACATATTCATGTAACTTTGTTTCCAAGTAATAGGGAACAAGCTGTGGGCAGATCTGTCTATAGGATAAGGGTTACGTGCCAGAAAAAAATCCCTACAAAATGAGAGAATATGAGAGTTTCATGCTCGCCATATCTTTGAATTTCAGGTACGTGCCTTTAATAAGATAAGGTTATTGAATTGAAAAAAGTAAAACCATTGGCATTACCCGGAAGAGCTTATCTAGAAGAGAAACTTGTAATTGAACTGACTTTGCGGCACGCAATAACATGTTAGTTGATCACATCAGGTTTGGTATGAGGGGTAGCACCTCATAGTAAGCAACACCATGCATCAGCAATGAGTGATAAAACATCATTAGTAAGTGCCAAGAGGCATTGACACTTTGTCAGTGAGCAACACCATTATTAGCAATATGCGGTAACACATTATTACTTAGTATATTAAAAGCTTTCTCTGGAGCTTTAAAAACTGTAGGAAACTTCTAATTGAACTGAATTTGCTGTCTATTTATAAACTTGAAGCTGGATAATTTAGCCAAATTAGATTGTGTACTTGGTACTTATATGAGACTGACATAAGAGATAGCAGTAATAACTCATCAAAATTTATGTAAACTTGGATTGGACGGGTCGTGCTACTGGGTCTGTCTACCTAAAGCTAAGCTTGCCTGACCTGTAGATTACGGCCAATGCAGGCACCATCTTTTATAAATAAACAATGCTCCAAAATACCCTGTTGTTGGTGACAACATCGTTATTGCAGTGCCAGTGATAAATCTAAGTTTTGTGCAGTGGATCGATGAGAAAATGTTTGAGCCTCACCCCTTCCTTCTCTAGGTATGGCAGGAATATACGCCAATGTTTGCAAAATTTGTTAAAAAATTCTCTCCTGTGTAGAGTAACAATTAAAGAGAAATTACTCTTTAGAGGTGGAGTGTTGAGATCAAAATAATTTGGAGTTTTTTATTTCATAAAATTTAGTGGAAAAGAGGAATGCTAGCAACCAAAGAGTCTTTTGATACACTCATCGCTTGTGTAGTGTCAACGTGAACACTCAATGGCCCCTAGCCAATGGCAATAGTGGATGGAGCTTTTCCTCATGCTGACATGCCTTGGTTAGCTTGGGTAATACCAACTAATAATCTGGTTCAACCAATTTAGGCGTTCTCAGGCATAACTCAATCTTTAGGAGTTTGGCAGGAGGATAATGGAATTCCTTGTAACCGAGCGTATTTTTCTCTTCGATATTTTTGTAAATGAACACTGGGAAGATGAAAGAGAGGGAGTTGAACAAGCGTTTCAGCCTTATAAGAAGGAACAAAACCACCTTTCATAAAGACTTGGAAATGATGAGAGGTGGAAGAAGTTGTCGGAGTTGACACGGAGGTTTCGTCGCATGCAAGGGAAGGCGTCAAAGCCACGAGAGGAAGCTCCGTACAAGTTTGTGCTGGTCGTTGAGCCTTAGTTTAAGGTAGATGACGTCCTTGTCGAGCAGAGAAGAGGAAGCGACGTCACTGTCAAGTAAAGGAGGTAAGTGCGAGAAAAGCTTCTTACGCACGCAGTGACGCTCTTTCTCGGGTGATCGAGCCAAAGAAGAAGAAAGGGAAGAGGGCAATGACGTGGAAAGCTAAGAGGCTTGTATGTAGCAGAGAACAAGCCAGATCATGTGCAAAGAAATAGGAGCTCTTTGACGTGTGTAAGGACTTTCAACCGAGTCGTGCGCAAGGATTTTTACTGATATATTAAGAGGGTAAGTTTTAATTTATTTTATTATGTTAATTAAAATTACATATATAAATATGTATATATATATATGTATATATATG